ACACACATGTACACAGGGACACAGACACATACGCACACACACACACACATACACATGCGTGTGCACACATACACAGAGACACACACATGCAAATTCACACAAATATTCTGAGACACACCCGTACTGTCCAAATCACACAAAGTCCTCGTGTCTTCTATACCTTCTTTCTGTAACATTCCTCTGCATCCTTTCTGTTCTGATCAGCCAGGGCCTGATATTCCTCACGGATGCTGCACATAATTTTCCCAAGATCCTCGTCGTCGGAATTTTCAACTTCCACTGAGACACTGGAATTTGCAATTTGCTTTTTGAGCTCATCCACTTCCTGTACAAACAGAGCGAGAGAGGGGAAAAGAGAGAACTTGTGACTGAAAGTGGGGCTGAAGGAGATTCTTTGAACTTAAGGAGGCCTGCTCCTTTGGAGGTGCCTCCTTTCAAATGAGATGTCAAACTGACTCAGCATCAGCCTTATTTAGTGGGTATCAAATCCCATGGGATGCCACCATGTTAGAGAGAGCTCTTCACTATTTTCTAATGACTTGACCAATATTTATCCATGAACAAATGTCACTAAAATAATTTATCTGATCATTTTGGGATCTTACTGAGGACAGAGAACTGCCCCACTGTTCTTTTTCAGTCTTTTACAGGATGTGGACAAGGCCAGCTTTTGTTTTCCATCCCTAATTGCCCCTTGAACCGAGAGTCTTGCTGGCCAATTCAGACGGTGTTTTGTGTCATCCACATGGGTCTGGAGTCACATGCAGGTCAGACTGGGTAAGGACATCAGATTCCCCTCCCACTAGGTGAGCCAAATGGGTCTTTACAGCAGCTGGTGATCGTTGTCATGGTTGCCATCACTGAAACTAACTTGTGATTCCAGATTTTTACTAACAGAGTTGAAATGTCACCCGCTGTAATGAAGGGATTGAACCTGTAAGCCCAGGACAATAGCCCAGGTCTATAGATTACCAGACCAGTGACATTGCCACTAGTCACCATCACCCCTTTGGTCCTAATTGGTGAAAGGTGCTATATTAATGCACTTTCCTTCTCACCTCCTGGTGGTTCTTCCGGAGATAACTCAGCTCCTCATTCAAGGCCTCAATCTGGGACTCCAGCTGCATGCGGCCCACATTGGTGTCATCAAGGATTTTCCGCAGCCCGTTAAGGTCCTGTTCCACTGATTGCCGCAGGTCCAACTCTGATTGCCACCTGGAGACCAATGATCACTGAGTTACAAAGCAGTCTCAAGCAATGACCGTTAAGCCAGTGAGCCTGGCGCTTGAGACCTTTCCAGTGGTCACAGTTTGAAACCTTAGACTTTCACAGATCAGAAAGAGGCTGTTCAGTCCTCCTTGTCAGTGGCAGCTCTTTGAAAGAATTATCCAATTGGTGCTACTTCCACATTTAGCCTTGTGAATTTGTCCTTTTCAAGTATTTACCCAGATTCCTTTTGAAATTCCTAGAATCCTGCAACACCAGATGGAAGCCAATTGGCCCATCAATGTCTGTATTTTCTCTTTGACCACTCCCCTGATCATTGCCCATGATCCTGTTTTGTTTCCCTTTTTTCTAACGAATTCTCCAATTGTTTTGGAAGCTTCTGTTGAATCTGCTTCCACTGCCCTTTCAAGCAGCATGTTCCAGATGACAACAATTCACTTCATTAATTTGCATTGTGGAACGCACGTGCACTGGAAGCTGCATTGATAAATACAGGACCATGTACGTTTGCAGACAGAATGAACATGTACACACACTGTGCTTTTTTTCAACTCAGAATGTGTGACAGCTTTTCTCTGGTTCATTTCTTAGGGTTAATGCCTTGACTAACAAAATAAAAGTTGCTGGAACTGTTCTGAGGAAGAGTCACTGGACCCAAAACGTTAACTCTGATTTTTTTCTTTACAGATGCTGCCAGACCTGCTGATCTTTTCCAGCAAGTTCTGTTTTTGTTCCTGATTTTCAGCATCTGCAGTTCTTTTGGTTTTTAATGCCTTGACTAATCATCTTCAACCTGCCCGGCTTCAAATTTAAACAAAGCTTGGCAGTTAACAGTCAGTCATCATCTAACTGGTGCATTCTCCATGGTAACACCTCTACCAGTCAGAGTCCTTTGCCAACCAAACAGCACTGTCCCTTCACCCAGTCTAAATATTGTTTTCCTTCTACCAAGTAATTCTTACAAATTGTCCTGATAAGACAAAAAGGTTTCAATTAATTGTGTCTTTTCTTTCAGCAATAGCCAGGTTTTGTACTAGCAAACATCTAAGAGAAATCTTTCTATTTCTTTGACTAATCACGTTCACTCTCCTGTCACTGGAAACATTTTCTCCTTATTTACTGTGTGAAACCCACTCATGACTTTGAACATAGGAACTTCAGAACAGAAGGCCCATCAGCCCATCAAGACTGCTCTGCCATTACACACTGTTTCCACATCCCTTAACGTCATTATTCTACAGAAACCTATCAGGCAGAATTTCCCCAGGCCATCAGCAGCAAGGGAAAGGTGAGAAAGTTGGGCAAATATGGCAAAAATGAAAAATCAGATTCCCGGCATCAGGTAAAAAAATCCTAATTTCTCCTTTAAGTTGGACCATAAGAAATAAGAACAGGAGTAGGCCATTCAGCCCCTCGAGCCTGCTCCGCCACTCAGTTGAATCATGGTTGATCTGGCATTCCTCATGTCCACTTTCCTGCCCCTTTTCCCTGTGACCCTTGATTCCCCGACTGATCAAGAATCTATCTAGCTCAGCCTTAAATATATACAAGGACTCTGCCCCCACAGCTCTCTGTGGCAAGAAGTTCCAAAGACACACAACCGTTTGAGAGAAGAAATTCCTGCTGATCTCAGTCTTAAATTGGCATCCATTTATTCTGAGACTGGGCCCTCTAGTCCTAGACTCTCCCATGAGGGGAAGCATCTTCTCAGCATATCAATGGTGAATTTTGAATCTTGCTGATGAACCATGACTATCTTATTTTCATGTATTTGTGTCTCATTATTGGCTAGCTGCATCTCATTTCCAAGCAGCTTCCCATTCTCTCCGCCAGAAAACTAGATGGTGCCAATTGCTGTTATGGTATTGAGATGGTTGGCTAAACACCTGGATTAAACCTCCTGCTAAACCTTCTCTGCTCAAAAGAGAAGAATCCCTGTCTCCCCAGTGTCCAATTGTGAAACTGAATGAATCATTTGGGAATTAAAGAGCTGGGATCATGAGTTCAAGTGAGTGCAAAAAATCTCAAATCTCAGGCAGCATTCAGAGAAGAGTACAAGAGTTCACCCCTGTGCCCTGGACAATATTTAAGCTTCAAATAATTATCCATTTATGATCACATTCTTATTTCTAAGATCTTGGAGTGTGCAAAATAGCTGCCTGGTTTCCTAAATTATAGCAGTTAGTTCACTTCAAAAAATACTTCATTGGGTGCAAAGCGTTTTGGAGCTCTGCAAAGTGCGATAGAAATGAAAGTTATTTCTTTCAAAACTGAAGGACTTTCCTAAAGCAATATTCTCACCTCCCCTCCTCAATTTTCACCCATCAATGCTTCACCCTATTGCCTGCTCTCCATGTGCAAACAGAATATTCACCCATGGCCTTTGCTAAACACACAGCCTTGGGGTATAATGCCCTCTTGATGTTGAGTCCGGGTATCATTGGACAAACACCAGCTGTTTCTCGCTCTCTATCACAATGAGTTATTAAGATCAATTGCAATACCAAATGCCAAATCACTCTGAAATCAGAGAATCTAGCCCCAAATGAGAACAAAACAAAAAAGACCCTCCACAGTTAGCTCTGCATCAGGACATTATTCAACCCATTCAGTCATCTGCATATTTCATTCCTCAGTCCAGAGGGTATCATCTCAGAATAAGGGGTTACCCACTTAAGACAGAGATGAGGAGGAGTTTCTTCTCTCAGAGGGGAGTGAGTATATTCAAGGCTGAGACAGACAGATTTTTAATCAGGAAGGGAATTGAGGCTTATGTCAAAAAGGTTGGAGAGTGAAGGTAAGGATGATCAGATCAACCATGATCTCATTGTTGGTGCAGCACACTCAATGGGCTGAATGGCCTACTTCTTTACATTTCATAGTCCCTGCCCCGCACTCACTTCACTTTGAAATCGTCAGAGGCCAGTTCGCAGTTGTCCAGCTGCAGAGTCAGACCAGCGTTGTCCATGTTTGTTTCCTGAACCTGCAGGGAAATGGGATTCATTTATACAAATATCAGCGATTAATAAATCAACATCAGTTAATTTTGTTGAGTGGTCACCCATTTCACAGCAAGAGATTGAATACAGATCTTAAAATGTACACACTCCATAATAACTGAATGTAGCGATACTGATGTCCATGCAGTAAATTTGTTTATATTCATTCATGAGATGCGGGCATCACTAGCTGGTCAGTATTTATTGCCCGTCCCTAGTTGCCCCTTGAGAAGGTGGTGGTGAGCTGCCTTCCTGAACCGTTGCAGTCCATATGCTGTGGGTTGACCCACAATGTCCTTTGGGGGTGCGGTGGAATTCCAGGATTTTGACTCAGCAACACTGAAGGAACAGCGCTACCTTTCCAAGTCGGGGTAGCAAGTGGCTTGGAGGGGAACTTTCAGGTGGTGGTGTTCCCATGTATCTGCTGCCACTGTTCTTCTAGATGCAAGTGGTCATGGGTTTGGAAGGTGCTGTATAAGGATCTTTGGTGAATTTCTGCAGTGCATCTTGTAGATAGTACACACTGCTGCTACTGAGAATCGGTGGTGGAGGGAGTGAGATGTTTGTGGATGTGGTGCCAATCAAGTGGGCTGCTTTGTTCTGGATGGTGTCAAGCTTCTTGAGTATTGTTGGATCTGCACTCATCCAGGCAAGTGGGGAGTATTCCATCACACTCCTGACTTGCACCTTGTAGATGATGGATGGGCTTTGGGGAGTCAGGAGGTGAGTTACGCGCCACAGTAAATCTAGTTTCTGACATGCTTTTATAGCCATTGTGTTTATGTGATGAGTCCAGTTGAGTTTCTGGTCAATGGTTACCCCCCAGGATGTTGACAGTGGGGGATTTGGTGACCATTGAATGTTAAGAGACAGTCGTTAGATTGACTCTTAATGGAGATGGTCTTTGCCTCGCATTTGTGAAGCATGAATATTAGTTGCCACCTGTCAGCCCAAACCTGGATATTGTCCAGATCTTGCTTCATTTGAACATGAACTGCTTGAGATCTGGCACGTCGCAAATGATGCTGAACAATGTGCAATCTTCAGCAAACATCCCCACTTCTGACCTTATGATGGAGGGGAGGACATTGATGAAGCAGCTAAAGATGGTTGTGCCTAGAACACTACCCTGAGGAACTCCTGCAGGGATGTCCTGGAGCTGAGATGACTGACCTCCAAAATCCACAACCATCTTCCTTTTGTGTTTGGTATGACTCCAACCAACAGAAATGAATGTGAGGATGTCATTGCATTAAAGGCATTCAGAGGACATTCACTGGATTAATTCCAGGCATACCCAATGAAGAGAGACTGAGCAGTTTAGGCCTACTCTCTCTAGAGTTTAGAAGAATCAGAGGAGATGTAATTGAGATAGGGAAGATGGTAACGGGCATTGACTAGTCGAGAATATTACCTCCTGTGGGGCAATCTAGAATGAGAGGTCATAGTTTTCGGCTAATGGGTGGTAGATTTACAAGAGATGAGAAGAAGATCAAAGGGTCATGAATGCGTGGAATTCGCTCCCTCAGAACCTGATGGATGCCATGAAATTGAGTAACTTTAAGGAACAAATAGACAGATTTTTCATTCGTAATGGGTTAAAGGGTGATGGATAGTGGGCAGGAAAGTGGATTTGAGGTGAAGATAAGATCAGGCATGATTGTATTAAAAGGCAGAGCATGCTCAAGAGACTGAATAGCCTAATCCTGCTCCTAATTCCTCTGTTTTGACACTGATGCCCAATAAACTGAATGTCTCCCATATTGAACAATCCCAGGATTTTGTGATTCTCCAGTACCAAAGCATTTCTGACATCCATCCCATAATAAGGTCAGGAGTGAGATGCCAAACAATGCACAAGTCAGCCAAACCTGTGTCACTTTAATGCACTAAAGTTGAAATAACATTAAATAAACACAGATTCAGGTTCATTGTGGGTGTGTCAAGGAATTTTCAGCACAGGCCTGCAGTAACCAGCATTTACTTTCTGGCTTTTGTCAGAAGTTTTATCCCAATGTATAAAGTTAATAATATATCCTGATGTATAATTTTAATATTTTCATAAATTGTGTAACTACAAGTTGATATTCATTGTTCCATCAATTACCTATTTCACAGTGATTCAAAATACTGCACTGCTCTTGATACAAAGAGAGAAAGGAAGAGACAGAGTAGGGAAAAGAGAGTGAGAAAAGGAGAGAGTGAGATAGAGGGAGAGAGAAAAAGGGAGAAGGAGAAAGATGGAAAGGGAGAGAGAGAAAGGAACTGAGAGCGATACCTGTTTACAAAAACAAAGCAACTTAGAATTCACAGAAAATATGGTAAATACAAGAAAATGTTTGTTTATATATTTGTATTTACAGAGATATTTAAACTCCTCCACAACTTCTGTCCACAAACTGGAGATTTGATACACACTTGATGTACACCTTTGCCTCATGAGACATTGCAGTGCCACCACCAGCAATGAATGTGTTTTTACAGTTTACAGGGGCAGATTCCAGTGGAGTTGTAAATGTAGAAAGCCTAAATAGAGACACAATGAAAAGAATAAAACAGGGTCTGAATGAGATCTGAGCACTGGATCTTATTTTATCCACCCTTTAAACTCATCTCACATGAAGGCTAAATCATAGAATCATCAAATGGTGACAAAACAGAAGAGACTATTCAACCCATTTAGTCAGTGCTGGTAATGTAGGAGGAATTTAGCAAGTTCTACCCAGTCACCTTTTTTCTGTAGCCCTGTATTTTCTTCGGATTCCAATTCCTTTCCAAAAGCCTCAATAAACTCTGCCTCCCTCACACTCTCTGGCTGTGCATTCTAGATACTAATGATTCACTGATGAAAAGGTTTTTCCTCATGTCATTGGCTCCTTTTGTCAATCATCAAAGATCTGTGTCCTCTGATTCTCAACTCTGCCACTAATGGGAACAGTTTCTCCTGATCTACTCTGCCTTGGCTTGTCATGTTTTTAACATCTCCATCAAATCTCTACTTAAGATTCCCATCCTGATAAGAACAGACCCAACATCCCCTCTCAATCCAGTCACTTAAGTCTTCATCCCTGGAATCGGAGTCACAAATCTATACTGCACCCTGTCTAATAACTTCACATCCAGAATGGAACACAACTCCCCCGTGTTTTACAAAGGTTCTCCCTTGCAATCTGTGCTTCCACTGATAAAGTGCAGGATCTTGTGTGCTTTTTAAACCACTTTCCCAGCTTGCCCAACCACATTTTACGGACAAGCCTGTTTTGTGGCATTTTATCAAACACTTTCTGGAAGTCCATTTACATCACATCACCTGCATTACCCTCTTCAACCCTCTCAAAATACTCCATCAAGTGAATTAAACATAACTTGACCTGAACAAATTTGTGCTGGCTTTCTTCAATTGTCTGATTTTTATCCAAGCGACTACAGAGTTTGTCTCTGTTGATCATTTCAGAAAGGTTTCCCACCACTGAGGTTAAACTGTAGTTGCTGTGATTATGTTTACACCTTTTTTTGAACAAGGACATAATGTTTGCAAATCCCCTGTCCTCTGGCACCACCCCTGTACCTGAGGAGGACTGGAAGATTATGGCCAATCTCTTCACAATTTCCACTCTCAGTTTCCTCAGAGACATCTCATCTGGTCCTGGTGATATATCAAGGTAGCCCACCAATAGATCCCCTTCATCAATTTCAGTCCATTCAGTATCTAAAATAGTTCGTCTTCCACTACAACATCAGCAGGATCTTCCTCCTTGATAAAGACTGATGTAAACTATTCATTTTGTACCTCAGCCACGCCCCATCAATCTGGTCTCTAAGTCACACAACAATCTCCATTTCTGTAACCACCATTTTACTAGATCTATGCTCTATTACTGTGTTCTATTGGTAAGGTGACTGCCTCGTGGTATTATCATTGGATTGTTAACCCAGGGACCCAACTAATGTTCTGGGGATGCAGGTTCGCATCCTGCCATGGAAGATGGTGGAATTTGAATTCAATTTTTAGAAAATCTGGAATTAAGAGCCTTATGATGACCATGAATTCATTGTTGATTATCAAAAAAAAAACCCATGTGGTTCACTATCATCCTTCAAGGAAAGAAACTGCCATCCTTACTTGGTCTGGCCAATATGTTACTCCAAACCGACAGCAATGACTCTTGACTGCCATCTGGGCAATTAGGGATGGGCAACAAATGCTAACCCAGCCAGCTGAACCTCATTAATGAAAAATTAAAACGATGTCGAGAGGAGAATTTTAGATTCCCTTTAATGCTAGCTGCCAGTTTCTTGTTATACCCTCTTTAGCTGTCAGGTCTCTTTCCTCACTTCCCGTTTGAATTTGTTACATTCTACCTGGTTTTTGTTTGTATTGTGAATTTCACATCTGCGTGCATCACAAACTTGGACTCGGGTCAGTTCTTTGAAATAATAAGTCTAAAAGAACGGTCTGGGGACAGAATGTTACCGATGGATTGAAGATTCTAAAGCAATTACCCACCTGTTTGCAGATATCCACCACTGGCTTCTCGTAAGAGCTCCAGTCCCGAGCCAGGTTACCTTTCTGAGCCAGGTGAGCATGGATCTTGCCCTGCAACTCCTTGTTCGTACTTTCCAAGCTCTTCACCTTGTTCAGGTAAATAGCCAGTCGCTTATTCAGTCCCTGCAGCTCATCCTGCTGGTTGAAGGTGTTGGGGACTGCAATCCTGCTCAGGTTGGTTATACTGCCCGGGCTGTAAGAAGCTACTCTCACGCTCCTGCTCGCATCACCCTGCAGGCTGCGGGCATTGCTGGCTCTCCTGGGGGTTAACCCGATCACCATGCTGCTGGAGCTGGCTGTACGGGAGAACGGCGTCTTGTTGTAGTTCATCTCGATCCAGGGGCAGCAACAAACTGTGTGCGTGGGGGTATCTGAACAGTGCTTCACTCCCCTCCCTCTCCCTCTGTCTCTCTGTCTCAGGTGAGACTCTCGGATTATATTACCCGACGCTGTTGGTTTGGAGTGACAGCAAAATGGACCAATCAGAGCGCAGGAGGTCACCCAGCCTCATTATTATTCAGGAATGTGTCCAGGTGAAGGCCCCGCCCCTATGATTCTGTCCAATGGGGAGCGGCGGGGACGGGCCCAATGCAAATATACCTTTAAAGGGGCGGCGTGCGGCGGCAACAGGGCACTCGGACTGGGATCCAGCACCGGGATCGGGGTCCAGCACCGGGATCGGGATCAGCACTCGGACCGAGATCCAGCACCGGTAACGGGGTCTAGCACTGGGATCAGGGTCCAGCACCGGGATCAGGATCCAGCACCGAGATCGGGATCAGCACCGATATCGGGATCAGCACTCCGATCAGGATCCAGCATCGGGATCAGCACTCGGACCGGGATCCAGCACCGGGATCGGGATCAACACCCACATCGACACCAGGATCGGGATCAGCGCTCGGACCGGGATCCAGCACCGGGATCGGGATCAACACCCACATCGACACCAGGATCGGGATCAGCGCTCGGACCGGGATCCAGCAGCGGGATCAGGATCAGTGCCCGCATCGACACCGGGATCAGGATGAGCCGCGGAGGAACCAGCACCATTGGCATGTCCCGGGCGCTCAGCCTCAGGAACGTGCCCCGGACTTTCTCGGTTTCCTCCTCGAATTTACTGAGTGAGAGCCCCCGGGCGGAGATCGACCCGAAACTGCGGGCGGCCCGGACCCAGGAGAAGGAGGAGATCAAGGGGCTGAACAACAAGTTCTCGGATGTCATCAGCCGGGTGAGAGGACAACAAATGCCCACCACCACACTCCTTCCCTACATCCACGTCCAAACTCTCAAATCGTCAGCCCACATCCCTAAATATCCAAACTCTATAAAATACCCCCAGATATCCAACACCCCTCCAAAGACCTGATAGAAGTTTATAAAATAATGAGGGCGAGGGATAGAGTTAACGGTAGATGTCTTTACCCTAGGATGGGTAATTCCAAGACTAGGGGGCACATTTTTAAGGTGAGAAGGTATGTGGAATGAACTCCCTGATGAAACGGTGGATGTGGGTGCAGATACAATGTTTAAAAGACATTTAGGTAAGTGCATGAATAAGAAAGGTTTGGAGGAATATGGGCTGGGAACAGGCAGGTGGGACTACTTTAGTTTGCGATTATGTTCAGCACCGACTGGTTGGACCGAAGAGTCTGTTTCCATGCTGTATGACTCTATGCTTCCACAAATACCCAGCCTCCTTCCAAATATCCAGCCCCTCCAAAATAACCCCAAAAACCCAACCCAATCCACATCCCTAAATATGCAAACTGTATAAAATGTCCCCAGATACTCAACCCAGCCCAAAATCTATAAGCCTCTAACTACAGACCGGTTAGCTTAATGTCTATTATTGGAAAATGTCTATTATAGAAATGTAACAGCAGAGCATTTAGAAATATGTAAAATGGTAAAGCAGAGTCAGCACAGCTTCATGAAGGGGAAGTAATTCCTGACAGATTTACTACAATTCTTTGAGGCGGTAACAAGTTGGATATACAAAGGGTGGGCTGAGGATGTGATAGATTTAGATTTCCAAAAGGTATTCCATAAGGTACCACATATTAGGCTACTTAATAAAAGCCCATGGTGTTGGAGGTAGTATATTTGATCCAACCAGAGGGTGCTGTGGTATCGCTCATTTGCATTCTGTGAGTGGACTTCGCAGTCAGCACGGGTATGAGAGGCATCATGGAAGAACCTGGTGTTAAGGAAAAGTCAGGCCCAGACATTACATTGCTGTAATGTTTCCATTCCTCTTTCGTCTTCTAACATGGCTAAAAGATAAGCTAACTAATACAAGACAGAGAGTTGGTACAATGGGGGCAATTTCAGGATGGCAACCCATAATTAGGTGCATGCCAATGGGATCAATGTTGGGATCACAATTATTTATGTTAATGACTTAGATGAGCGAAGTGAATGTACTATAGCCAAGTTTGCAGATGACACAAAAGTAGGTGAAGGGTACTGAGGGGTTAAATGAGCGGGCAAAAGCTCAGCAGATGGAATATAATGTGAGAAAATGAGACATTATGCTCTTTGGCAGAAAGAATAAAGGAGCTAAATACTATTTGAATGGAGAAAAACCTCAGAAAGCTACAGCACACAGGGATTTGGGAGTCCTCATGCATGATGCCCAAAAAACTAGCGTCCAAGTTCAGCAGGAGTATGGAAGACAAATAGAATGATGGTCTTTATTTCAAAGGGAATGAAGTATAAAAGGAGGGAGGTTTTGCTAAAACTATACAAGGCATTAGTCACGCCATAACTGGAATACTGTGAACAGCTTTGGAGTCCCCTTATCTAAGGAAAGAGAGACTGACATTGGAGCCAGTCCAGAGAAGGTTTACTAGACTGAAACAAGGTATGGAGAGATTGTTTTATAAGGAGACTTTGAATAGATTTAGTGTATATGCATTGGAATAAAGAAGAATGACAGGTGACTTGTTGAAACATATAACATTCTTATGGGACTTGACAGGGTAGATGTGGAGATTCTAGGACCTCAGAATGAATAGTCTCATATTTAAGACTGAGATGAGGAAGAATTTCTTCTGTAAGAGGGGAGTGACTCTGTGGGTCCTTAACCACAGCCAGTTAGAGAGTCTGGGCTGTTAAGTATATTCAAGGCTGAGCTGGACAGATTTTTAATCAGTAAGGGAATCAAAGGTTATGGGGAAAAGGCAGGAAAATGGAGTTAATTATCAGACCAGCCATGATCTCATTGTATGGCTGAGCACATTCAAAGGCCCAGATGGCCTACTTCTGCTCTTGCATCTCATGGTCTCATGCAATTAAATACCCCAAAAATATGCAACCTACCCTAAAATACTCTCCAAATACCAACCCCTTCCCAAATAAGTCCTGAAATATCCAATCCCTTCAAAATAACACCCCAAAACCAATCCCAACCCACCCCAATAGCCAATCCCCAATAAAATACCTCCCAAATACCCAAACACAACCCATACCCTCAGTACCCACTCCCTCCGATAACACCCCAGAACCAGCCCCCAAACACCCATCCCCTTCCTGTAACACTCCCCAAACACTCATCCCCCTCCTGCAACACTCCCCAGCTTCCTTGAAAATACCAACCCCACCACCAAATACCCTCATAATACCTACACCCTTAATTCCCAGCCCTCCTGAAAGACACACCCAAGTACCCCACCCACACTAATGATCAAAACAGAAGTTGCTGGAAAAGCTCAGCAGGTCTGGCAACATCTGTGAGGAAAAAAATCAGAGCTAACGTTTTGGGTCCAGTGACTCATCCTCAGAACTGATGGTAGCTGGGAAAACGTTGGCTTATGTGCAGTAAATAGGGAGGGGGAATCGGATAGGGAATAAATGATAGGATAAAGGATAGAGCCCAAAGAGAGCAAAGAGCAGTTGGACAGACAAAGGAGCGGATAGCGATCTGGCTGGGAAGGTGAATAGCTTTTAATGGATATTGTTAGTGACTAACAATAGGTAGTGTGTAATGACAGACTGTGTGATAACAAGGCCAGGTGTGTGGGGTAGGGGGCTAGGACATGGGAGAGTTTGTGCCCTAAAATTATTGACCTCGATATTGAATCCGGAGGGCTGCAGGGTCCCCAAGCGGAAAATGAGATGTTGTTCTTCCAGCTTGCGCTGAGCTTCACTGGAACACTGCAGCAAGCCAGAGACAGAGATGTTGGCCAGGGAACAGGGTGGTGCATTACAGTGGCAGGCAACAGGTAGTTCAGGGTCTTTTTTGCTAGCAGAACGTAGATGTTCTGCAAAGTGGTCTCCCAGTCTGTGCTTCGTTTCCCCAATGTAGAGGATACCACATTGTGAGCAGCAAATTCTGGGAAGTGCAGGTGAAGTGTTGCTTCACCTGGAAGGCATATTTGGGTCCTTGGATAATGAGGAGGGAGGAGGTAAATGGGAAGGTGTCACACCTTCGTCGGTTATGAGGAAGGTGCCGTAGGGCTGTGGGGTGGTTTTGGGGGTGAATGAAGAGTGGACCAGGGCGCCCCAGAGAGAACGGTCCCTAGAGAAGGCGGACAAGAGAGGGGAGAGGAATATGTATCTGGTGGTGGCATCTTGCTGGAGGTGGCAGAAATGGCATCTGATTACCTTCTGGATGTGGATGCTGGTGGGACGGTAGGTGAGGATAAGGGGAAGCTTATCGCTGTTGCGGGAGGGGAAGAGAAGGCGTGTGGGTGGAAGTGCAGGAGATGGGTCGGACCTGGTTGAGGGCCCTGTCGACAATGGTGCTGGGGATATCCTTAGTTGAGGAAGAAGGTGGACATTTCGGAGGCTCCTTTGTCAAAGTTGGTCTCGTCTGAGCAAATGTGATGGAGGAACTGAGAGAATGGGATGGAGTCTTTACAGGAAGCAGGGTGTGAGCATGTATAGTCCAGGTAGCTGTGGGAATCAGTGGGTTCAACGTGGATGTTAGTGGCCAGTCCATCCCCAGAAATAGAAACAGAGATGTAGAGGAAGGGAAGGGAGGAGTCAGAGATAGACCAGGGTGGAAATTGGAAGCAAAATCTTTGAACTTTTCCAATTCCGGATGAGAGAGGGAAGCAGCACCGATGATATCATCGATGTATCGGAGAAGGGGTTGTGGGTGGGGGCCGGAATGGGACTGGAACAAGGAATGTTCCACATACCCCACGAAGAGACAGGCATATCTAGGGCCCATGTGGGTGCCCAAGGCCGGCCCTCTGACCTGAAGAAAATGAGAGGAATTAAAGAGAAGTTGTTGAGGGTGAGGACAAGCTTGGCCAAGCGGAGGAGGGTGGTGGTGGATGGGATGGCTCAGGTCTTTGCTCCAGGAAGAAGCAGAGACCCCTATAACCTCCTGGTGGGGGATGGACATGTAAAGAGATTGCACGTCGATGGTAAAGAGGAGGCAGCTAGAGCCTGCAAACTGGAAGTTTTGAAACCGATATAAAACATCAGAGGAATCGCAGATGTATGTGGGCAGGGACTGGACCAGGGGAGAGAAGACTGAGTCAAGGTAGGAAGAGATGAGTTCTGTGAGGCAGGAGCCGGCTGAAACAATGGGTCTGCCTGGACAGTCCTGTTTGTGGATTTTTGGGAGGAGTTAGAAGTGAGCTGTGCGGGCCTGGAGGAATCTCAGCTTGGAGGCCCCAAAGAACCCCTCAGATACTCACGGTCCCTCAGAAATATAGCCTGGAAAACCCCACAAAATATTCAAATCCCTCCAAAATAGCCCCAAATACTCAAACTCCTCCAAAATACATCTTCAAACTCCTAAACCCTTCTGAAGGACACCCCCAAATATCCAACTCACCAAAAATCTAAGCCCCATGGAATTTAGAGATAACTAGGTGTAGAGTTGGATGAACACAGCAGGCCAAGCAGCATCAGAGGAGCAGGAAAGCTGACGTTTCGGGCCCAGACCCTTCTTCAGAAAAAAAAAATGAAAAAAAAAATTTCCCCATGGAAATTAGTTCATTTCATGCTTTTCTGGGCTCCGGTCATTCTGTCTGTCTGGTCAACGTTTCAGAGAATCTCCCAATTCCCCTGAAGCCAGCCCTGGACTGATCCCAGTGAGAATTCCCCAGACAGCGGTTCTCACAATGGGGCTTCCTCTGGGAGTCTGAGACCAACACAGACCAGGCATACCATCTTCCTCTGCTCTGCTCAGTAGAATGGGTGCCCAGAATCCTGGCCAGAGATTGGATTGAAGCAGAATCTTGAAGGAAGAGACAGAAAGAGAGGGCATGGGGCTGTTTTTGGAGGGAATTCCAGATTGCACGTCTAGGAAAACCGAAGATACAGCTCCCAATGGAGGAGTGTTGGATTTCAGGGTGCTACCAGAGCCCAGACTGAGAGTTCTGAGAACTTGGATGGTTCTGGGGCTGGAGGGTGTAACAAAGATAGGGATGGCTCAGTTTAAAAATGAGGTTTTGCGGGGAGAAATATCAAGTGTCCGTCCATCAGGGAGTGGGTTAATTTATTTATTCTGAGTCATGGGAGTTTGGTTCCATTACCTTCACCTCAAACAGAATTCAGTCCATTGGTACAAATAGGAGACAGTAAGGACTGCAGATGCTGGGAGCCAGAGTCAATAAATGAGGAGCTGGACAAACACAGCAGGTCAGAGGAGCAGGAAAGTCAACATTTTGGCCCAACTCCCTCAGTCCTGACGAAGAATTTCAGCCTGAAACATTGACTTTCCTGCTCCTCTGATGCTGCCTGACCTGCCGTGTTTGTCCAATCTGTACAAATTGCTAGGCACAGGAGCAGCTCCAATCCTGAACCATCACTGACATCTACTGGCTCCAAAGGTATAGCACTTTCCAAATCACACTCTGAAGTGTTCTAACAGCTGTAATGTATGTCTGTTTTAAGGCTTCCAAATTTCACACAAGATCCCAAAAATATAAATGTGATAACAATTGAATACTCTGTTTTTGCCATGATGGTCAGGGACCAGTGAAAATTTACCAGCTCTTTCACAGATTAAAGCTGTGGAAACATCAACATCTATCCCAGAAGGACAGATAGTTCAGCATCTCTTCAGAAATTAAATAGTTTGAACAGCAAAGACTCCCTCAGCACTGAACCTCTGACAGCACAGCACTCCCACAGTACTGACCCTCCGATAGTGTGTCACTGGCTCAGCACTGACCCTCTGACAATGCGGCAGTCCCTCAGTACTGACCCTCTGACAGTATGGCACTTCCTCGGTACTGACAATCTGACAGTGCGGCACTCCCTCATTACTGACCCTCCGACAGTGCGGCACTCCCTCAGCGCTAACCCTCCAACATTGTGGCACTTCCTCAGTACTGACCCTCCGACAGCACAGCACTCCCACAGTACTGACCCTCTGACAGTGCGGCACTCCCTCAGTACTGATTTTCTGACAGTATGGCACTCCCTCAGTACTGACCCTCTGACAGTATGGCACTTCCTCGGTACTGACCCTGTGACAGTGTGGCACTCCCTCAGTACTGACCCTGTGACAGTGCGGCACTCCCTTGGTACTGACCCCCCGGCACTCCCTCAGTACTGACCCTCCAACAGCGCAGCACTGCCTCAACAATGACCCTCTGACACTGCGACACTCCCTCAGCTCTGACCCTCCAACAGCGCAGCACTCCCTAAGCACTGAACCTCCGACAATGTGGTACTCCCTCAGTGCTGATCCTCTGACAGTGCAGCACTCCTCAGCACTGACCCTCTGACAGTGCAGTGCTCCCTCAACCCTGACCCTCCGACAGTGTGGCGCTCCCTCAACACTGACCCTCTGACAGTGTGGCACTCCCTCAGTACGGACCCTCTGACAGTGCGGCACTCCCTAACACTGACCCTCTGACAGTGCGGCACTCCCTCAGTACGGACCCTCTGACAGTGCGGCACTCCCTCAGCACTGACCCTCTGACAGTGTGGCCCTCCCACAGTACTGACCCTCTGACAGTGTGGCCCTCCCACAGCAGTGACCCTCTGACAATGCGGCTCTCCCTCAGCTCTGACCCTCCAACAGTGGAGCAGTCCCTCAGCACTGATCCTCTGACAGTGCAGCATCCCTCCACAGCGCCAAGTTCTCTCGAGTGCAGAGAATGATGCAACTGATGCAGTTACCAAAGAGGTGCCCAGTGTCATTGGTAAGTGTATTGCTCTGTGAATTTTAGCACAGGCCCGTGTTTGACTGATGAGCTGGCTGAGTCTACATTGATCATGTCCTTTGCAATGTCCAGGTCAAAGCCACATGCTCCTGTTTAATTCTTTTCCATTCTGATGGGCGTTGTATTTCAGGGCTATTTGAGAGTAAATAGTGAAGCACCTTTTGGGCTATTTTTGGGAGAAGTGAAGGGGTCATTTTTGCATCTTTTGCGTAGGTTCGTAAGCTAGAACAGGAGAAGCAGGTGCTGGAGACACAATGGGATCTGCTGCAGCACACAGACACGTACAAATCAAATGCTGACAAAATCATCAACATGTTCTGCAACAAACTGAAGCAGCAGCTTGGTGATCTGGAGAAGGAGAGAGACCGCCTGAAGCTGCAGATCTCACACACACAGCAATTGGTCGAAGATTTCAAAGGGAAATATGAAGATGAGATTAATTCCCGTACTACACTGGAGAATGAATTTGTTATCCTTAAGAAGGTCAGTAGATTGCTTAAGAATCTGACTATAGTTGACTGGGTGTGCTAATGTGCAACGCTTTAGAGAAGCTCCTTCTGCGAGTTTTCAGGGACATAGAGAGAAATTAGTTGTAGATTTCAGTGGCTTTGAACTCATGTTCTGCTGCAGATCTTGATCTTCAATCTGTGCTCCTGAGCTGGAGTGGAGAAGGGGTCGTAATCTCTACCAGTTCCTGATCTTTTCACTCTCTGCTGCTCTCAACAGTTGCAGCTTGGTAACACACAGTAGCTCAACCAATCAGAGGGCTGCTGCCAGGTTGTATTTCCTTAGCTTGAAAGATTCTCAGTGCCATTCAGTCTCAACTTCTCTCCACAAGAACAAGTGTAAATTCAATTCAGATTTGGTTTAAAAAGACAGCCACCAGGGTTTTAGATGATGCCTGCAATTATTTGTTACCGAGCAAAACTCTTTCAATTCCATAAGCAAACAGCAGATTGGAAATCCACAATTGTAACATCTCTATTCAAGAAAGGAGGGAGACAGAGTGCAGGAAACTATGGGCTAGCATCTGTCACCGGGAGATTGCAATAATCAGTTATTAAAGAGGCTTTAAAAGGACATTTAGAATATTCTGTAGACGGAGTATATGGAAAATATGAAGTCCACTGTGGCAGGACAAATAGAAGAATTGCCTATTGTTTAAGTGGAGAGAGACTTCAGAACCCAGTGCTACAGAGGGATTTGGGAGACCTGGTACTTGAATCACAAAAAGTTAGTCAACAGGTGCATAAGTGACCAGGAAGGACAATACAATGTTATCTTTATTACAAAAAAACTGGTAAGAAAAGATCAGGAAGTCTTGCTTCAACAATACAGGGCATTAGTGAGAGCACACCTAAACTGCTATGTGCAATTTTCTTTTCATTATTTAAGAGATTTACTCCACCTCTTCAAAACCCCAAAATACACACAGGCTCAATCACAATTAAGACACAAAAGGTGAACAGTTTAACTCATATTCTGTAGGTGGAAAAGACTATCAATGAGAAACAAAATTTTGAAGATTAAAAGAAGAGACTACAATGTAGAAAGTTCTTTTCCTCTTACAGTCCTTTTGATTTTTGCAATCATGAAACAGTTACGGTCCTGTGTTCGTTGTTCTTCAGATCAATGGTTGATCAGGTAAACTTGGATCTTTTTCGAAGAAAGAATTCACGCAGAAACTTTCTGAGGCTTTCTGTCTTTGACCCCAGACAAAGAGAGAGAGGGAGTTGTAATCTCTACAGCTCCAGATCTTTTCACTTTCTGCTGCCCTTGGCACTTACAGCTTGTTAAAACACTATAGCTCAACCAATCAGAGGGCTGTTGTGAGGCCGGATTTCCTTAACTCAAAAGATTCTCAGTGCCATTCAGTCTCAACTACTCTCTCTGTTTGCTTCCAAAAAGCAACATTGTATTTCACAGCTCCACAATGGGCAACCCTTCCAGTTGCAAAATGTTCCTGTTTCCAATTAAAGCACTCAAACTTCCAATTCAGTTTATAGTCCAAAAAATGAAATTCATGCATCCGTTACCAGACAAATTAATTGTGACACAAAGACACAAAATTGCATAAACTAAACTTGCACTTGCTAGAATTTAGATGGTTAATGCATGACTTGTTGGAAGTTTCTACATGGGATCAATTTGAGAACCTGAGCTGTTGGTGTCATTCTGCATCACAAGCCCAGCTGTCCAGCTAACTGAACTAAATTGACCTCTGCACTGCACTGGCTGATGTTACCATGAAGGTCCAACCTTCTCAACTTCACACCTGACCCGAGGCATGGGGACCCTCAGGTTTATCTTACCATCCATCATCTCTCTCCTGTGGCCCTCTGAAACAATGGCATCTTTAATTAAGAGCACCAGAAAGGATCAAAAGAAAAATAAGTTATTTCTGTTAGTTTGAGGAGTTCAGAACCAGGGGAGATCACTGAGATATCAAACTTGATCCTTCATATATGAAATCGCCAAATACATATACACAGAGATTCAGATCTCTGTTCTGAAAATGCAGTTTGTTATATTTAAATTTGCCATTAATAGGGAACTAGGTATGTAGAGCAAGATCAACTGTGATGTCACTGAATGGTAGAACAGACTCAAAGGTTGAAAGCCACTTCCTGTCTGCAAGTTCCTGGAAGGGTCAACAAAAATTTATTCTTGGTGGGAAAAGTTATGTCCATGTCTACGTTACGCCACCTGTAGAAATTTCAGTGTAAGACAGAGCTCTCTACTATTGCCTACGACTGAGATTGGTAAGGTTGAGGCCAGTCAAACTGGGCAGTGAACTTTGAGGGCGATGTACCTTACACAGGAGAAGACCAATCCAGAGTTAAGACTTGGAAAGATGATAACAACGTTAGCCAATAGCATTAGATTACAAACAAATTGTAGTAATGATTTTATTCTTTATTCAATCATGGGATGAGGGCATCGCTGACTGGACAGCATTTATTGCCCATCCCTAATTACCCAGAGGACAGTTAAGAGTCAACCACATTGCTGTGGTTTGGGAGTCACATGTAGGCCAGACCAGGTAAGGATGGCAGTTTCCTTCCCTAAAGAACATTAGTGAAGCAGATGGGTTTTTCCTGACAATCGACAATGGGTTCATGGTCATCATTAGATTCTTAATTCCAGATATTTATTGAATTCAAATTCCATCATCTGCCGTGACAGGATTCGAACCCAGGTCCCCATCTGATGAAGGGTCTGGGCCCGAAGCATCGGCCTGTCTGCTCCTGTGATGCTGCTTGGCCTGCTGTGTTCGTCCAGCCCTGCACCTTGTTGCCCCAGAGCATTATCTGGGTTTCTGGATTAACAGTCCAGGAATAATACCACCAGGCCATCGCCTATAGTTCAACACTGTAGGAGCAAGACAAATGCCGATTAATGTCAATTAAGAGAAATGTGAATGATGCATTTTGGAACAAAATATGATGTAAAAGATAAGAATTTAGACAAAATAACCACACTTTCAGTGGACTGGGGGCAGACATGTAAATCACAAAGACTGGTTCAAAAGTAAATCAGTCCAAGAATAAACAAATAGAATTTCACCTTTTGTTTTGAATAGCATAGATTAGCAAATCAAGGAGGTCATTTCTGGTGTAAAGATTTGGATATGTAATGATTCAACTGTTGTATATTGAGTTGGAAATCTATTGGAGGACAGATATAGAAGCAACTCACAGAGAAAGCAGTTAATTTTGGTCTAATTTTTAAAATTTCATTCTCTGGATGTAAGCTTCGCTGCTTGACCAGCATTTATTACCTGTTCCTAGTTGCACCTTGAGAAGGTAGTGGATCACTATAGTCCATGTGCTGTAGGTAGACCCACAATGCCCTTAAGAAGGGAATTCCAGGATTTCGACCCAGCAACAGCGAAGGAACGGTGATGTATTTCCAAGTCAGGACGGTGAATGGCTTATAAGGGAACTTGTAGATGGTGGTGTTCCCATGTATCTGCTGCCCTTGTGTTTCTGGATGGAAGTGGTTGTGGATTTGGAAGGTGCTTTCTAAGAATCTTTGGTGATTTTTTGCAGTGTATTTTGTATGTAGTCCACACTGCTGCTACTGAGTGTTGGTGGTTGAGGGAGTGGATGCTTATGGATGTGGTCCCAACCAAGCGGGCTGTGAGTGTTGTTGGATCTGCACCCATCCAGGCAAGTGGGGAGTATTCCATCACTCTCCTGACTCATGTAGGTGGAGAGGTTTGTAGAATCAGATGAGTTGCTATCTGAAGAATTCATAGCTTCTGATCAGTTCTTGTCATATTTATACCTAGTCCAGGCCAGCTTCTAGTCAATACTAATCCCCAGGGGATTAATCGTGGCAGCATTAGCAATGGAAATTCCATCGACTGTCCTGAGGAGATGGTCAGACTCCCCTTGATGTTACATAATGGGAAAGTGCACCATGAGGCATGAGGGAAACATCCGAGCTGGACTCAGCAGGATTTAACAGGTGGCAAAGTACTAGCCTTAGCCCTAGGAAAGAAACTGATGGTCACCAGAAAACCTGGAAGTGAGATTTCAAAAGGGATAGCTTTGAATTTTGTAGAGAATGAGGAATGATCTCTGGATTGATTCAGCTGATGTTAGTGGCGGGAGTATGGTACCTCCTGGCTGAAGGGTGGGATGGAGTGAGAATTAATGCACAATCTGAGGGCAGAAAGGAGCTTGTTGGCCCAGTTCAAACTTCCTGATGTGATGTAAAAGTTCAAAATGATTGATTGCTTCACCTAAAGCCTGTCCAATTTTTTTGTCATATCAAAAACATTTTTCCAGGAAGTGGATGATGCCTATTTTCAAAAGGTCAAGCTGGAATCAAAACTGGAATATCTCACCAATCTGATTGAGTTCCTGAAGCTACTCTATGCTGAGGTACATCCTTTATTATGTAATTGAAGGGGTTCATCTCCATTTGGCCCCAGAAATGGAGTAAAGGTAAAGTCACCATTGTCTTACCAGACCATAGGGCTGCTCTCTCCTTAGGGAGATGGTTAGTGGTGGTTTAACCTGAGCGTTACCATACCTCAGGTAATGGAAGTGTTTGAGAAGGAGAGTCTTTCCTGGTGACCTCAGCAGTGTTGGAATTGAACCCACTCTGCATTACAAACCAACTATCCAGCCAACTGAGCTAACCAACTCCTTTACAATGGGGAAGGGGCTATTAAACTGTTACACAGGTTTAAACCCATTAACAACACAACCAGCAGGGGGTGAGGTGCCCAACTGCCTGGTGTTTGCAAAACTTGCAACACTCTGGTGAACATTAGATGTAATTCTAGCATTGGACAGCACTTGCTGGATAATCCTGAATATGTGAAGAATTATGCTAATGACTAATTTATGATTATTAGTTGGGTCACAATGTGGCATATCTATGTACGTTGGAAGCGACACACATATTAATGCACAGGGCCGTGCTCTTGGCAAACAGAGAACATTTACAGTGCTTGTTTCAACTCCACAAAATAGCTCAACAGCCATTTGCTGCTTCATTTCTCAAGGTGATACCTGTTTAAATTTAAAGTTTGTCTGTCAACTTCAGTCCTTATTAATGGGTGCATTCTCCATGGCAAAGCCTCTACCAATCATTGTCGACTTGCCAACCAATCAGAATTTTGCTCTCTTGCAATATAAATGTTGGCTTTCCCTTTGAATTTAAAGATAATTTTCCGCAATATATTCAGACATGGCTTTACTTGGGTCTTCTAAGTCACAGGTAGAAATTACCACTGTGCCACAAAATCCCTCCCCTTGAATTTATATTCTTGTGAGATGTCCTGAAGTGTCTTTTTTCAACATTACACAGCAGATAACTATGTATCTAACCCCATCCTATCCCCATGCTGTGCCTGTCCTGGGAATGTTTGATGGGGACAGTGCTGAGGAAGTTTTATTTTAATTTAAAAGAGTAGAGGGAGCTTTATTCTGCATCTAACCCTGTGATGTCGCTGTCCTGGGAGTGTTAAATGGGGACAATGTAAAGGGATCTTTACTCAGTCTCTAATCCTGTGCTGTCCCTCTCCTGGGAGTGTGTTTGATTGGGACAGTATAAAGGATGGATGAGTAATGTGTGAATTATCTGCTGAGAGTAACTGGTTGTAAACTGTCTGATTACAGGAAATTTATGAGCTGCAATCACAAATCCAGAGCACTGCTGTCACACTCAAGGTCAACAACAAACGCCAACTAGACATGAAACAGATGATCGATGACATCAAACAGCAGCACGCTGAAGTCGCAGCCAGGAACAAGACTGAGGCTGAAGCCTGGTACCAGGACAAGGTCAATCCCATTCACTCACTAATATCTACTTTGGTTAGTGTCAGCTGACATTAGGAAAGCAGGAAGAAGAGTTGTTACATTTACATCACATATTTCAAAACCTCTGGACTCAATTTGGGCAGACAAGAAGCAAGTCACAATTATGTCACACAAATGCAAGGCAATGACCATCTCCAATAAGGGAAATTCTAACCATCGCTCTTTCACATTCAATGGTCTTACCATCATTGGATCCCCCACTGTCAACATCCTGGGGGTTACCATTGACCAGAAACTCAGCTGGACTCACCACATAAACACAGTGCCTACAAGAGTAGGTCAGACTCTAGGAATATTGGGTGAGTAACTCACCTCCTGCCTCCTCAAAGCCTGTCCACCATCTACAAGGCACAAGTCAGGAGTGTGATGGAATACTCCCCACTTGTCTGGATGTGTGCAGCCCTAACAACACTCAAGAAGTTTGACACCATCCAGGACAAAGCAGCCCGCTTGATTGGCACCACATCCACAAACCTCCACTCCCTCCACCACCGATCCTCAGTAGCAGTAGTGTGCTATCTACAAGACAAACTGCAGAAATTCACCAAAGATCCTCAAGACAGCACCTTCCAAACCCATGACCACTTCTATCTAGAAAGACAGGGCAGCAGATACATGGGAATACCAATCCCTGCAAGCTCCCCTCCAAGCCACTCACCATCCTGACTTCGAAAATAAATCGCCATTCCTTCACTGTCGCTGGGTCAAAATCCTAGAACTTTCTTTCTGCATTATGGGTGTCCCCTCATTTATTTTCATTCTTTCATGGAATGTGAGTGTCACTGTTGGCCACCCCCAACTGATCTAGGTAAGAAAGTAAGTTGTGAAGAGGACACAACGAGGCTACAAAATGATATAAGCAGTTTAAATAAATGGACAAGAACCTGACTATTGGAGTATAAAGTGGGAAAATGTGAAACTGTCTATTTTAGCAGCAGGAATGAAAAAGAAGTATATCACCTAAATAAAAAGAGATTGCAGAGCTCTGAGATGCAGAGGGAACTGGGTTTGTGTTGCAGGAATCACAAAATGCTAGTGTGCGGGTCCAGCAAGTAGTTAGGAGTGCTAATAGAATAGGAATATCTATTGTGAGGGGAATTGAGTACAAGAGTAGGGGTGTTATGGTTCAGTTATACAGAGCACTGGGAAGACGAGAGCTGGAGTATTGTGTTGGTCACCATATTGAACGAAAGGTGTAAATGCATTGAGGGGGCGGAGGGGGGCGTTGGGTGCTGCAGTTCAGAGAAGGTTTATCAGACTAATCCCTGGAATGAGGTAGTGGTCTTATGAGTCTTGTATCTGCTAGAGTTTAGAAGAGGTCACTTGACCGAAATGTGTAAGATTCTGAGGGAAGTTGATCAGGTAGATATAGAGAGGATGTTTTCTCTTGTGGTACAATGCAGAACTAGGAACCACTGTTTTAAAAATCAGGGGTCATCCATTTACAGCAGAGGTGGGGTGAACTTTTCTCTCAGAGGGTCAAGAGTCCTTGGGACTCTACTCCCGAAAGAGGATGGAAGTTGAGTCTTTCAATATTTTTAAGGCAGAGGTGGAGAAATTCTAGTTCAGCAAGGGGATCAAATCTTATCAAGAGGTAGTCAGGAATGTGGATTTGAGGTTACAATCAGATCAGCCGCGATCCTATTAAATAGCAGAGCAGGCTTGAAGGTCTGAATAGTTAACTTGATGAACTGAGTGACTGGCTAGACTATTTCAATGGGCAGTTAAGAGTCAACCACATCGCTGTGGGTCTGGAGTCGCATGTAGTCCAGACCAGGTAAGAATGGCAGTTTCCTTCCCAAAAGGACATTAGTGAACCAGAGGCACCCCATGAACAATTTTTTTTTAAAATCAGGAATGGACAATACCTGTTGGCCTAGTCAGTGTCTCCCCCATCCTGCAAGAGAACATAAAATTACGGACCTCACCAAACACAGTATAGTCAGTGAAATGTGATCTTACAGACTCTGAGAACACACCATTTCTGAAGAAGGGTCCAGACTCGAAACGTCAGCCTTCCTGCTCCTCTGATGCTGCTTGGCCTGCTGTGTTCATTCAGCTCTACATCTTGTTATCGCTCATTCTTCTCATTGTGTTCATTCTCAGTTTTTCTAATAATACGCCCAACGCACTGTCGTCTTTCACAGAGTCTGTCACTAACCCTTTTCTCAGTGAGAGACTCTGGTCGTATCAGGCAGGCCAAGACAATGTTCTGATGGTAATTCTGTTTGTGCACAGCTATCAGATCTGGAGAATGACAAAGCAAGACAGAACAATGACCTCAGAAATGCAAAGAACGAGTTTGCTGATTGCTCACGTTATCTGCAGAAGCTGAAGTCTGAAATAGATGCGCTTCAGAATCAGGTATGAATTAAAGTGGGTGATGGGGACAGTGTAGATGGAGCTTTCCTTTCAGATTGAAAAAGTAGAGGAAGCTTAATTTTCAGTTTAAAAGTGTGGTGGGGACTTTACTCTGTAGCTAACCTTGGACTTCTCCTATTCTCACAATATTTTAGATGTGGATGTGTTCAGATGAAAACCTACTCTAAATGTTCCCATGTATTAGAGTTGTTTCAGTTTAAATCTGGAAGCTTGAATCTTGAACTCATTTGACTTATGATTTGTCTTGAGTCAGGATTTGTGAAACTATCTCCAATCGATCAGCAATCATTCTGGGATATTGCCAGGCACTGGGGATTAGCTCCTCTGATCCGAGAGAATCCTGGTGGTGTCATCCCATAATGTCTCCACCTCATTCCCTCTGCTATTGGCTCCATCAATCCTCCTGGTGCCTCAACTCAAAATGACTGATGGGACAGTGCACAAGCTCTTCATCATGTGATTGGAGGATTCTCACCCGTTGGCCAAACATCCAAACTTTGAGACAATTCTCAATATTTTGAAGAATAAGAAAAAAAATTCAAAGGAGTGATGGGCGTGGGGTGTGTGCAGGAGATTTATCTGACATTTTAATGATGTGGAAAAGCATTGCCAGGCATGGAGTGGAAGTGTGAGTTGGGAGGATACATGGGGGTGGAATTAATCAGATGGCTTTTCCAAAGAAACCAGCAGAGTGGAGAGAATGGCCTCTTGCTGTGCTGCAAGATCCTTTGGTTTTTAATTTCCTCACTGCAGGAGATTAATCACTGCTGCCTGGAAACTCCAGGCCTGCGCTGGGTATTAGCATCCCGACTGATATGTTACCTTTCCACAGCGTGCCTCCCTGGAGTCTAACACCAGGGACGAAGAGGAGCGTGGACAGATTGCCATCAATGAAGCCAAGAACCATATCAACCAGCTGCAGGAGGCTCTGCGGAAGGTAAAGACAGATATGGCCGAGCAAATGCGTGAGCACCAAGAATTACTCAACGCCAACATGGCACTGGACATGGAGATTGCCACCTACAGTAAACTCCTGGATGGAGAGGAGGAAAGGTGAGCACAGCACAAGTATCCCCACAATGAACTCCCATTTCCCTAACATGCTTCACCAGATCCAAGCCATTTCAGAGCACTTTACAGGTAATGACAAACTTCTAATGATCCTAGTAACAGTTGCAATGTAAGAAAAGCTGTATCTAACTGATGCACAGTGAGATTCCATAAACAACAATAAGGTAGCAACCAGGTAATCTTGGTTGGGGGATGATTATTGCACCAGATGCCAAGATCTTCCCCAAAATACTAGTCTTTGTGTAAGGCAAAGGGGAACTATTCTTCTGAAACAGATTCCGGAGAGTTCAAAAGCTGAATTTCCCACTCCTTTCATTTGGTCGCAAAATACCGGGGTACAGGAAGTGCACATTGTTACATTCATACTGGCCAACTCCAATTCCACAGTGAAATCTCTCTTGTTGGACCCCAATTTTCCTTTTTATTTTACAAACCACAAGTCCGTTACTGAACACATTCACAAGAGTCTGCCAGTCCTGAATGTCTCGGAGTGGGTACAGACATCCTGAAACGGGAAGGAAAACAGACAGAACTCATTGTCCACGTTGGCACAAATGACATAGGTAGGAAGAAGGAAGAGGTCCTGCGAGGGCAATTCAGGGAATTAGGTAGGGAACTAAAAACAGGACTACCAGGGTAGTAACCTCAGGATTACTACCTGTGCCACGGGTTAGTGAGGCTAAGAACAGAGAAAGAGTACAGTTGAGCATCTGGCTACAGAGCTGGTGTAGGAGAGAAGGCTTTAGATGTATGGATCATTGGGATGTCTTCTGGGGAAGGTGGGATCTGTACAAGAAGGATGGGTCGCACCTAAACTGGAGGGGCACCAATATCCTGGGCAGGAGGTTTGTTAGAGCTCTTTGGGAGGGTTTAAACTAGTGCGACAGGGAGGTGGGAATCAGAACAACAGGCCAGTAGGTGCAGGGACTTGGGACAAAGAAGAGACTGAAATATGCATAGCGCAGAGTAAGAGCAGGCACAGGGAAATCATGGGGCTCAGAGGGACTGGAGGTCTGGATTGCATTTACTTCAATGCAAGAAGTATAACAGGTAAGACAGCTAAAAGCATGGAATACTGCATGAAATTATGATGCTGTTGCCATTACGGAGACATGGTTAAAGGAGGGACAGGACTGGCAGCTTAATATTCCAGGATATCGCTATTTTAGACAGGACAGAAAGGGAAACAAAAAGGGGTGGGGGAGTTGCACTGCAGATTAGGGATCACATCACAGTTGTGTTGAGGGAGGACACATCGGAGGGATGTTGCGGTGAGGCATTATGGGTGAAGCTCAGGAATACAAAGGGTGAAATCACAATGTTGGGAGTTGTCTATAGACCTCCCAACAGCCGACGGGAGACAGAGGAGCAGATAATGTAGTCAGATACTAGAAAAGTTTGAAAAGAGCAGGGTAGTTATGATGGGTGACTTCAACTTTCCTCTTTTTTTACTGGGACTCCCTTAGAGCCAAGGTCTCAGTTGGAGAGCAATTTGTTGGCGTGTCCAGGAAAGCTTTTTGAGGCAGTGTGTTGACAATCCAACCAGAGAGGAGGCCATATTAATCTTGGTCCTAGGGAATGAGCCAGGACAGGTGATTGATGTTTCATGAGGAAAGCATTTTGGGCTTAATGACCATAACATCAATAAAATTTTTGAGTAGTCATGGATAAGAACAAGAGGGGCCCTCGGGTGAGGGTGTTTAATTGGGCAAGGGCCAATAACATCCAAATTAGACAGGAACTGGTGAATGTGGATTGGCAGCAGTTATTTAATGACAAATCTACGTCTGGCATGCGAGAGGTTTTTAAAGACCAGTTGACTAAATTGTCCCTGCAAAACTAAAGGATAGGAATGGCAGGATCCAGGAACCATGGATGACAAGCGAAATTGTAAACTTAGTCAAAAAGAAAAAGGAAGCATACAATAGGCCTAGGCAGCTATAAACTGACAAAGCCCTTGAGGAGTATAGAGAAATTAGGAAGGAACTTAACCGCAGAATTAGGAAGGCTAAAAGGGGCCGTGAAATGTCTTTAGCAAACAAGGTCAAGGAGAATCCCAAGGCCTTTTATGCATATATTAGAAGAAAGAGGGCAGCAAGGGAAAGAGTAGGCCTCATCAAAGACAAAGAAGGGAAGTTATGCATGGAACCACAAGAAGTGGGAGAGATCCTTAATGAGTACTTTGTATCGGTATTCACCAAGGAGAGGGACATGACTGATGTTGAGGTCAGGGATGAGTGTGTGAATACTCCAGAGAATGTCAATATATTAAAGGAGAAAGTTTGGGTATCCTCAATTGCATTAAGGTAGACAAGTCCCCAGGGCCAGATGTGATCTATCTCAGGTTACTGCGAGAGGCAGGGAAAGAAATAGCTGGGGCATTAGCAGATATCTTCACATCCTCCTTGACCACAGGTGAGGTTTCAGAGGAATGGAGATAGCCAATGTTGTTCCCTTGTTTAAGAAAGGAAGTAGGGATAATCCAGGAAATTATAGTCCAGTGAGTCTGACATCTGTGATGGCGAAGATCTTGGAGAAGATACTGAGGGACTGGGTATATGCACATTTGGAAGAAAATGGACTAGTTAGCGACAGGCAGCATGATTTCGTATGGGGAAGGTCACATCTCACCAACCTGATTGAATTTTTTGAAGAGGTGACAAAGATAATTGATGAGGGAATAGCTATGGATGTGGTTTACATGGACTTTAGTAAGGCATTTGATAAAGTCCCACATAGCAGTTTGATAGAAAAACTAAAATCACATGGGATTTCTGGTAGGCTGGCTAGACAGATACAGAACTGGCTCCATCATAGGAGACAGAGGGTAGCGTTGGAAGGATGTGTTTCAGAATGGAGACCGGTAACTAGTGGTGTCCACAGGGGTCAGTCTGAAGTCCTCTGTTGTTTGTAGTGTATATAAATGACCTGGAGGAAAATGTGGGTGGTCTGATTAGTAAGTTTGCAGATGACATGAAGATTGGTGGAGTTGCTGACGGTGCTAACGATTGTGAAAGGATACAACAGGACATAGATAGATTGGTGACTTGGGCACAGAAATGGCAGATGGAGTTTAATCCAGACAAATGCGAGGTGAAATATTTTGGAGGATCAAATTTAGGTGTGAATTATATTGTAAATGGCAGAACCCTTCAGAACATTAACATACAAACGGATTTGGGTGTGCAGGTCCACAGTTCCCTAAAAATAACAACGCAGGTGGCTAAAGTGATTAAGAAGGCATATGGCATGCTTGCCTTCATCGGCCAGGGTATGGAGTACAAGAGTGGCAAACCATGTTGCAGCTTTATAAAACCCTTGTTTGGCCCCATTTGGAGTATTGTGTGCAGTTTTGGTTGCCACATTACCAGAAGGATGTGGAAGTTTTAGAGAGAGTGCAGAGAAGGTTCACCAGGATATTGCCCGGTCTTGAGGGCATTAGCCACGAGGAAAGGTTAAAAAGACTAGGATTGTTTTCACTGGAAAGATGGCGGCTGAGAGGAGACCTGATAGAGGTCTACAAAATTATGAGAGGCATAGATAGGGTGGATCGTCAAAGGCTTTTTCCCAGGGTTGAAGCTTCAATTACAAGGGGGCACAGGTTCAAGGTGAGAGGGCAAAAGTTGAAGGGAGACGTGCCAGGAAAACTTGTCACGCAGAGAGTGGTAGGAGCCTGGAATGCACTGCCAGAGGAGATGGTGGAAGCAGGCACATTGGCGACATTTAAGAGGCATCTAGATGGCTCCATGAATAGGGAGGGAATCGAGGGATATGCATCAAATAAGGGCAGAAGGTTTGATTTATAGTTTAGTCGGGGCATGACGATCAGCACAGACTTGGAGGGCCGAAGGGCCTATTCCTGTGCCGTACTTCTCTTCTGTTCTTTTTTGTACTTTCAACATGCAAAATCAAACACTTATTAAACAAGAGAAACATGAACTATATTACATTAGTAAAAAATGTTGAAAAAAGTTGATATCATTTCTGAACACCCATACCTCAGTGAAGATTCACCACTGGTTCCACACTTGGGCTTCTCTCTCAGGCTGGCACAGTTGCAACCAGTTTCCCCTGAGCACATTTCTTTCAGTTGATGTCTTGGATCATGTAGACAGTGTCACTAAGCACAGGGATGTAATTTTCTTTAAACACAGTTCATTCAAGTTTTGTCAAGCTCTTCAGAAGAGCAGCTGCATCAGCGTTTTCTGGTCTCACTCTGGACCTTATGAAAAGGCCTTCTCAAAAAGGCAGAGGATGAGCTGGGGAACTTCTCTCTCAGCAGACTGCACCTGAACTGAGCTCCAAACAATATCCAAGACAAAGCCAAAAGCCCTAGCATGTGATTTCCAGTAAGCAATCCAAGAATTAGCTCAAGCCATCTGCATTTTAAGAAAAATCTTATTAAAAAAATTCCCAACGTCTTCTTAATGTCCACTTATTTTTAAAAATGCCTAGGTATCTCTTCTCAGCCTTATCAAATAACCCTTTTCTATAATCCATTGAATGCAAATCTTCAAAAAAAATTGATAATGACACTTCTACAAAAAACTCTGGTTTGACCGCTCCTGCAATGTTATGTCAAGTTCTAGTCAGCACATTTTAAGAAGTCTTTGAAAGGAGATTTACCAGAATGCTGCCGGGAATGATGGATATGAAAATACAAAATAGGAGTAGAAGTAGACCATTCGGCCCCTCCAGTCCTGCTTCACTATTCAATAAAGTTATTGGCTGGTCTGTTTGTGGTTTGAATTCCACAAGAACAAGAATCTATTTTCCTCTGCCTTAGTCCAAAGGTTGGGGTTGCCCTCTCAGAAAGAGAGGGAATTTGAATGAGGGTTTCAAATCTTAGAATGTCTACAGTGCAGAAAGAGGCTATTTGGTCCATCGGGTCTGCACCGACCCACCAAAGAGCCTCCCAGCCCTCTCCCGTGTCCCCATATTTGGCCAGTCCACCTAACCTTCACATCCATGGACACCACAGGGCAATTTAGCACAGCCAATCCAGGTAACCTGCACATCCATGGACACCACAGGGCAATTTAGCACAGCCAATCCAGGTAACCTGCACATCCATGGACTGTGCAAAGAAACTAGAGCACCTGGGCAGAAACCCACACATGCAAACTCCACGCAGACAGTCACCCAAGGCTGGAATCGAACCCAGGTCCCTGGCGCTGTGAGGCAGCAATGCTAAACCATTGAGCCACCGTGCTACCCTTCAACAAAATAGACTGGAGAAGCTGTTTCCATTTGTTGATGGTAGAAGGACGAGGGGACACAATGCAAATTTTGGGCAAGAGACGTGGGGGCAGGGAATGTGAGGGGAAGCTTCTGACACAGCAAGCAGTATGAGTGGACATCGCTGCCTGCATGGGGGTTGCAAAGGAAGACAGTCAGTGGTTTTGAAAGGAAACTGGCTGTCCATTTGAATGAATTAAATTTGTTGGGGCTGGAATGGTGAAATGAGAACCACTAGATTGTTCTACAGAGAGTCAGCATAGCCTCAAAAGGCTAATTTGTCTCCTTTGTGCCACAATGCTCTGACTCATGGCTCCCGGGTTATGTTAGTGTGCTATCAATTTCATATCGTCCAATCATTTTGATCAGTTCCCACAGTCAGACCGGATGAACAGCAGAGTCTGGTACAATATTGCAGTCCAGTAGCAGATTGGAAATTCACAAATGTCTACCTGTTGTGTCATTGTGTCTCATTGATTCCATTCCAGAGATGGAGTTCCATCCAGTGGCACCATAACCCGAGTGGTCAGCTCATCAGTCAACCCAAGAGGAACCTTGGTCAGGAAAAATTCAAAATTCAGTAAGAGGAGAATATTTTACTCAAGCTTTCAAATGCATGAAATTAAAGAAAGTGACCCCCAGGGGAACTTCAGAATTACACAACATTTCACAAAGGGTTGATGTAGAGAAAATGTTTCCACCCGCATAGAGGTGGGCTGAAGGGCCTGTATTCTATGATTCTTTGAGACCAGAGCTCCCAGTCCTTTCTCTAAAAGAAAGCAATCCAAAAGATTGGTATCAATACATTTAAAGGGGAAGCCAGATAAAGTCACCAGGGAGAAAGGAATACTGTAAAAGCATTGTATAACAGGGGGAGATGAGGAGAAGACGACAAGAGGCTCATGTGGTGCAGAAACACCAGCACAGAGCAGATGGGCCAAATGGCCTATTTCTGTGATATTTCTGTGTGTTTTTAATCTCACAATAAGAGAAGAGACTGGGATATCACCTTACCTTGATGAGAAAGTGCTGACCCTAAGCAGCCCAGAGCAGTGGGGGGAGAGCAGAGCAGAGCAGGCCATCAGTTATTCCGACTCTGAGCAGATTCCAGGGTCAGAGTTCCATTCCCCGTCTGGGATTGGGCTGGGGAGCTAAAAGGTCGGGGAGACATTCTTTATTAAAGGAATGAAAGGTGATCTTGGATGAGGTACAGAGACGATTTGAAAAGATGGATGCAGAGAGGATGTTTCCCCTCATGGAGGAGTCTGAACGTAGGGTTCACAGTTTAAATATAAGGGGTCTCCTATTTAAGATGGTGATGACCAGTGAGATTTTTTTCTCGAAGGGTCTTTCCTGTTGAAATTTCCACCCCCATGTGATGGAAGGTGTCATCAACAGTGCTATCAGGCAGCACCTGCTCAGGAATAACCTGCTCAGGGACACCCAGTTTGGGTTCTGCCAGGGCCACTCAGCTCCTGACCTCATTACAGCTTTGGTTCAAACATGGACAAAAGAGCTGAATTCCAGAGGTGAAGTGAGAGTGACAGCCCTTGATATCAAGGCTGCATTTGACCAGGTGTGGCATCAAGGAGCCCTAGAAAAACTGGAATCAATGGGTATCAGGGGGCAAGCACTCAGGTGGTTGGAGTCATACCTGGCACATAGGAAGATGGTCGTGGTTGTTGGAGGTCAGTCATCTCAGCTCCAGGACATCTCTGCAGGAGTTCCTCAGGGTAGTGTTCTAGGTCCAACCACCTTCAACTGCTTCATCAATGACCTTCCCTCCATCAGAATTCTTCGAAGAGGTGACCAAACACATGGATGAAGGTGGAGCAGTGGATGTGGTATACATGGATTTAAGTAAGGTGTTTGATAAGGTTCCCTATGGTAGGCTCATGCAGAAGGTAAGGAGGCATGGGATAGGGGGAAATGTGGAAGATTGGATTCAGAATTGGCTGATACTTAGAAGACAAAGTGTGGTAGTGGACGGAAAATATTCAACACGATGCTCAGTTACGAGTGGTGTACCACAGGGATCTGTTCTGGGTCCTCTTCTATTTGTGATTTTTGTAAATAATTTGGATGAAGGAGTGGAAGGGTGGATTAGCAAGTTCGTGGATGATACTAAGGTGGGTCGCGTTGTGGACAGTGCAGAGGGCTGTTCTAGGTTACAAAGGGACATTGACAGGATGCAGAGCTGGGCTGAGAAGTGACAGATGGAGTTTAACCCTGAAAAGTGTGACGTGATTCATTTTGGAAGGACAAACTTGAAAGGAGAATACAGGGTTAACAGAAAGATTCTTGGCAGTGTGGAGGAGCAGAGGGATCTTGGGGTTCATGTTCACAGTTCCCTGAAAGCTGCCACCCAGGTGGATAGAGTTGTTAAGAAGGCGTATGGTGTGTTAGCTTTCATTAATAGAGGGATTGAGTTCAAGAGCCATGAAGTTATGCTCCAGCTATACAAAAGCCTGGTTCGGCCACATCTGGAGTATTGTGTCCAGTTCTAGTCACCTCATTACACGAAAGATGCGGAAGCGTTAGAAAAGATGCAGAGGAGATTTACCAGGATGTTGCCTGGGATGGAGGGAAGGTCTTACGAGGAAAGGTTGAGAGAGCTAGGGCTTTTCTCTTTAGAACGATGAAGGATGAGAGGTGACTTGATAAAGGTATACAAAATGATCAGAGGTATAGATAGAGTGGACAACCAGAGACTTTTTCCTAGGGTGGAGGTAGCTATTATGAGGGGGCATAGTTTTAAAGTGAGTGGAGGTAGATACAGGGAAGATGTCATAGGTAGGTTCTTTACTCAGAGAGTGGTAGGGGCGTGGAATGCATTGCCGGAGAGGGTAGTGGAGTCGGCCTCATTAGGGGCATTTAAGCGGCTATTAGATAGGCATATGGATGATAGTAAAAGGTAGGAGTGGAGGTTAGATAGATCTTAGGTTTAGGGTAAAGGTTCAGCACAACATTGTGGGCCGAAGGGCCTGTACCGAGCTGTACTGTTCTATGTTCTATGTTCTGTAAAGTCAGAAGTGGGGATGTTTGCCAATGATTGCACAATATTCAGCACCATTTGCGACTCCTTGGATACTGAAGCAGTCCATGTTCAAATGTAACAAGATCTGGACAATATCCAGGCTTGGGCTGACAAGTGGCAAGTAACATTTGCGCCACACAAATGCTAGGCTATGACCATCACCAATAAGAAACAACCTACCACTCCTTGACATTCAATGGTGTTACCATCACTGACACCCCCATTATCAACATCCTGGGGGTTATCATTAACCAGAAATTCAACTCGAATCACCACATAAACGCAGTGGCTACAAGAGTAGGTCAGAAGCTAGGAATGCTGTAGAGACTAACTCACCTCCTAACTCCCCAAAGCCTGTCCACCTTATACAAGGCACAAGAGTGCGATGGAATACTCCCCATTTGCCAGGATGAGCCTATGTAGCCCTAACAACACTCAAGAAGCTTGATACCATCCAAGACAAAGTGGCCCGCTTGATTGGCACCACATCCACAAGCATCCACTCCCTCCACCACCGATGCTCAGTAGCAGCAGTGTGTACCATCTACAAGATGCACTGCAGAAATTCACCAAAGATCCTCAAACAGCACCTTCCAAACACGCCACCACTTCCATCGAGAAGGTCAAGTGCAGCAGATACATGGGAACACTACCCCCGCAAGTTCCCCTCCAAGTCACTCACCATCCCGACTTGGAAATATATCCCTGTTCCTTCAGTGTCGCTGGGTCAAAATCCTGGAATTCCCTTCCTCATTGCATTGTGGGTTAACCCACAATTGGGCCATACTGGGCCAATACTGGCCACTAAACCAGTGTTTTTTGCTTATCCCCAATTACCCAGAGGGCAGGTAAGAGTCAACCACATTGTTGTGTGTCCAGAGTCACATGTAGGCCAGAACAGGTAAGGACAGCAGTTTTCTTCCCGAAAGGAATTTAGTGAATGAGATGGGTTTTTATAACAATCGACACCAGTTTCAGAGTCCGTCTGTGTATTTAAGCAATATAAGCAATTCAAGAAGGCAGCTTATCACCACATTTTCAAGGGCAACTACAGATGAGCAATAAATGCTGGCCCAGCCAGCGATGCCCACATCCCACAATAAAATCTGAGTCTAGTCACCCTCTTCCTGTAAGTATTCTCAATGGGAAATGTGTTTGGACAGAGTTCGTACAATTCCCATTGTGTTACCACTCAATCAACTCAGGTTAGCATTTCTCTCAGACACGAGATGGACTGAACAGTGAGCCGTAATGGATCTTGTACCTGGTGACATAACTGTACTCTGTGTAGAATCAAGCTCCTCTCAATCAGCAAAATACTCTTGTTTCTTTTTCAGTGTAACAGACTTAAGATCATTCAGTTTGGAAGGGATAGTAGCGAGAATCAATTCCTCTCTGAAGATCCTATCACTGATGCTTAACACATGAAGGCCCACCCTCCAGATCATCAGCAACAGAGAAACAGCAAGACAACAAATTGAATCTCTCTCTCATTTGAAACTGAGTTTTAATTATCTTCACAGTAAAGATCATATGTCGAATAAATTCTGTTTAATGTAACGTAATGCTAATTACTCACTATTATAACTTTTCTTGCCTCTTTATTAAGTCCAACTTTGCTTAGTTCTCTGAACTCTGCCCACTATCCGTCCCAATCCCCAAATACCCCAATACACACATTTACCCCTCTGCCCTCTGTCCCACACTCTCCCCCTGCTCTCCATCCCATACTCTCCCTCTGTCCTCTGTATCACGAACTCTCTCCCCCGAGCTCCTCAAACTGTGGGATTTATTCCCTCCCCTCGCTCCTATCTCTACAAAAGCTGAGTTCAATGTTCATTTTTGAAAAGTGCATGATGTAGTCACTGCTACTTTATGGCAATTGTTTTCATGCTTTCTGGTGCCCTGTACTCAGTGCCTTGACACTTTGCTTGTGGATGTTTTTTAAAGAGATTCATGGTGACATTTGCTTGTGGTGACAAGGGGAAAATATTTATCATTGCTGGGCAATATCATGGAATAAAGAATTCAAACAAAGCTTTACCTCTGTCTGCCTCACATTGAAGATTCAGAGTTCATGATCAGATTGTGAAGGCAGCTCACCCTTATAGGCAGGGGCCTTCACTGAGATTGGTGATTTCAGCTGGTGATACCTGAGCAATTTGGTGAAGGCCTCACCCGTGTCATGTCTCTCTCAGTTGGTGTTAGTCCAGTCGCCCTTTAACTGATCCGGACCAGTCAGAACCTTCCCCAGTCCTGACCTCTTCAGGCTCATGACTGCTCTGTGACACCCTCACCCCCATATCCCAAATTCTGCTCCCTTACCATCAACATATCATTGGCCCAATGTTCACCCACTCTGATGCCCGATCAGACTTCTAGGTCTGCATTAGAGATTAGGAACAATGTGATGCTCATCTTGTTTGTATTCATTGGCATCCTTTTGTTGCCCCGTCAGACAGACCCCTACAGGGGTCAGTGGGTTTGTCTCCAGGAGAGACAGTGGCCTAGTGGTTTTATCGCTGGACTGCTGCTCTAGAGACCCAGATAAACATTCTGGGGACCCGGATTCAAATCCTGTCATAGCAGATGGTGGAATTTGAATTCAGTAAACTATCCGGAATTAAGAATCTAATGATGACCACAAATCCATTGTCAATTGTCAGGAAACTCCCATCTGGGTCATTAATGTACTTTAGTGAAGGAAACTGCCATCCTTACTTGGTCTGGCCTACATTTGACTCCAGACCCACAGCAATGTGGTTGACTCTAAACTGCCCTCTGGGCAACTAGGGATGGCCAATAAATGCTGCCTAGCATTTATTATTTAGATTCTTAATTCCAGATATTTATTGAATTCAAATTCCACCATCTGCCATAGCAGGATTCAAACCCAGGTCCCCAGAACGCTATCTGGGTCTCTGCATTAATAGTCCAGTGATAATACCACTAGGTCGTTGCCTCCCCTTGATCTAGTCCCATTTGTCACCATTTGGCCCATATCCCTCTAAACCCTTCCAATCAGATACCCTTCCAGATGTCTTTTAACTTGATCCAATTGGGGCCCTTCAGATTCTGAGATCTTTCTGTAAAGCAATCTCCCAGCAGTGACTGTTAAAACAGAAATGAGGTCAATTATTGATTGGCCATGGGCTTCAACCTCACTTCCTCATCCACCCTCCATCTCCCTCAACTCCCTGAGAGACCAAACATTGATCTATCCCCACATTTAGTATATTCAACAATTGAGTATCCAAAGCTTTAGAATTTCTTCACAACTGAAGAAGGTTCACTGGACTCAAAATGTTAACTTTGGTTCTCTCTTCACAGGTGCTGCCAGACCTGCTGAATTTCTCCAGTGCTTTCTGTTTTTATATATGTGTCAGATCTCCAGCATCTGGAGTTTCTTTATTTGACTAAGACACCACGATTCTATTCCAAAGGCAACAGCTGGAGGAACACAGCAGGCCAGGCAGCATCAGAGAAGCAGGAAAGTGGACTTTTCGGGTCGGGACCCTTCTTCAGAAATCTTTTATTCCAGATTTATGTAGCTGTTACTTTCTGTTAAAGATGAATTCAAATTCACAAAGTACCAACGATCTCTGGGAAAAGCGGATCTTGCAATAGCAAACCATCCATTGTGTTAAGTGAGATGCAGCAGCTCAAAATTGCTGTTAAATAAAGTAGAGCCTACATATTCTGAAACACTGCACACAAAGTCTCGACATACGATTGGCAAATTTTGCCAGTATTTATTTCCAGTTTCCTCAGTCCAATCTTGTTTTAGACAGTATTCCAAAGATACAGTCTGGGAAAATCAAATGAATGCATCCAGCAGTTTCCGCTTTGACCCCACTTTGCAAACTGTTGAATTACAGGCTGGACTGCATGGGATTCTCCAGCTAAGATGAATGGACAGGAAGCATTAAGTTTGACTAGTGTTTGCATAATCCCAAAGGTTAATGACGACGTCTCATTGTATGATTCAGTGTTCATTGGAACAGCCTGTGATCTCATTCACATGTTCATCACTAACCTCTCCCTCAACTCTTTAGGTCAACACAGACTATCACTCCAAACCTGCACTCACTCTAAACTGGAGACTGCTCTCATGTAGGTCAATAGGCAGCACTCCCTCTTTTCCTGTGTCCCTCTCTCTCAACAGAGAGACAGAAGGTTAGGCCATAAGACCATAAGACACAGGAGCAGAAATTAGGCCATTCAGCCCATTGAGTCTGCTCTGCCAATCATTCATGGCTGATAAATTTCTCAACCTCAATCTCCTGCTTTTTCCCTGTAACCCTTAATCCCCTTGACAATCAAGAACCTATCTATCTCAGTCTTAAAATTCTCAATGACCTGGCCTCCACAGCCTTCTGTGGCAGTGAATTCCATCGATTCACCACTCTCTGGTTGAAGAAGTTTCTACTTATCTCCGATCTAAAAGGTATTCTCTTGACTCTAAGGCTGTGCACTCAGTCTCAGTCTCTCCTACCAATGGAAACATCTTCCCAACATCCACTCTATCCAGGCCATTTAGTAAGTTTCAATTAGATCACCCCTCATCCTTCTAAACTCCATCGAGCATAGACCCAGATTCCTTAAACGTTCCTCATATGTTGAACTTTTCATTCCTTGGACCATTCTCATGAACCTCCTCTGAACCCGCTCCAGGACCAGTGCATCTTTCCTGAGATATGGCGCCCAAAACTGTGCACAATATTCCAAATATGGCCTAAAATTAGTTTAGCTCCATCTCCAGTGACTTGAGCACACCATTTACCCTGCCGCTCAGAGTGTAGTACTGACAGTGTGCTGCAATGTCAGAGGGTCAGTGCTGAGGGAGTGCCACACTGTCGTAGGGTCAGTACTGAGGGAGTGCCGCACTGTCGGAGGGTCAGTACTGAGGGAGTGCCGCACTGTCGGAGGGTCAGTACTGAGGGAGTGCCGTACTGTCGGAGGGTCAGTGCTGAGGGAGTGCCGCACTGTCGGAGGGTC